GAGGAAAAACTCTTGTTATAAAACATTAATTTTTTATATTATTAATTTTGGGGTAATTAGTTACGCAGCAATAAATATTAGGGGAGGAAAAACTCTTGTTATAAAACATTAATCTTGTTATAAAATGATAATAATATTCGTAAGAACTACTCATAACTCATTGATTACAGGGACCTACAAATCAAACACCTTATAGGCAATTCTCATTCTTTATCATTTAGTCCCCCAGCACAACCTTATGAGGTAGATATTAGCCCCATTTTACAGATAAGGAAATTAAGGTCCTGTGACATACAGATAGCAAGAAGCAGTGTCAGGATGTAATAGCCAAGATTTGATTCTCAGTCTTTCCAGTTCTTATTGCCTTACTATGTTATTTCTCTATTAGTTTCTCACCCATAACATTATACCTGCCTTCTCTGTATATCTCAAATGGTCACCATGTTCAAAACCAAAACAAAAATATATATATAAGGGCTCTACAAATGATAAAACACTATAAGGAAACAAAATAAGGAAATAATATGATATAACCTACACCTATTTAAACCATAAAATACATATTATACGTTTGTTTTTTAGCCTACTTTTTCTACTAAATAGTATCCACAGTTATTTCCACAAAAATAGAAACATAGATGTTATTTTTAATAATTACACAGTATTCATATACATATACACCTCTATACAGATATCACGATTTAATTGATCCCCTACTGACAGGCATTTAGATGGTTTTTAATACTCTGCTGTGTTTTTGTCTGACATTGGACACAGCAAAATGTCAACATTTTCTCTAGCACAGTAAAATTTAATCACTGCTGAAATAAAAACTACCTATTGACCATGAAGAAGGGTTCAGATAAAGTGATACTAGAAGCCAACAATTTCAAGACAACCAGAGTCAAAAATAGTTCAACTTATAACAATCTTGAAGTGAGCAAATGTCATGTGTAAAAATTATACAGAGATGTCCAAGAAGACATATATAAGAAAAAACTCTTCTGTTTGCTAATCATGAGATTATGGATGCCCTTGGAGACAGTCCTTTCCAGGTGGTACCTACGAACTGACCAGAGTAAATATTTTCATATTTGATAAGTAAACAGGGCCGGGCGCAGTGGCTCACACCTATAATCACAGCACTTTGGGAAGCCAAGGCAGTTGGATCACTTGAGGCCAGGAATTCCAGACCAGCCTGACCAACACAGTGAAACTCCTTTACACAAATACAAAAAATTAGCTGGGCATGGTGGCACAAGCCTGTAATCCCAGATAGTCGGGAGGCTGAGGCATGAAAATCACTTGAACCCCAGAGGTAGAGGTTGCAGTGAGCCAAGACTGCGCCACTGCACTCCGGCCTAGCTGACAGAGAGAGACTCCACTGCCAAAAAAACAACAACAAAAAAAACCAGAATTGATATTAACAGGTTGTCAGATTTCCACAACTGTGGCTAATTATGATTGGCAGCATCAAAAAGCAAGAAGAGAGGGAAAGAGAGAGAGAAAGAGAGAGGACTAGCTGATTAAGTTATTGTAATAGTCCTCCTTCCACTCCAACTTTCTGTCACAGCTACTGTGCCAGATGATAATGAAATAGCAATGGGCATTTTTGGTTTTGTTTGTTGACAGAGTCTCTGTCGCCCAGGCTGGAGTGCAGTGGCGAGATCTTGGCTCACTGAACCTCCGCCTCCCAGGTTCAAGTGATTCTCCTGCTTCAGCCTCCCGAGTAGCTGGGATTACAGGTACCCACCACCACACCTGGCTAATTTTTGTATTTTTAGTACAGACAGGGTTTCATCGTGCTGGCCAGGCTGGTCTCAAACTCCTGACCTCAAGTGATCCACCCATCTCAGCCCTGCAAAGTACTGAGATTACAGGCGTGAGTCACTGTGCCCGGCCACAATGGACATTTTTGGTATTCAGCTAACTGGAAGTTGAGTGAGGGATACGTTAAATTTGGGTTTAGCTGTTGGTTCCATGTATGGTTAAGTTACTGAAGCACTCTCAATGGAGGAATGGCTTTCAGATACTCTGACACCACTGCACAGGCTGACCTGACATTATGACAATGGAACAAACCCCAAACTTTTTTTTTTTTTTTTTTTTTTTGAGATGGGGTTTTGCTCTTGTTGCTCAGGCTGGAGTGCAATGGTGCGATCTCGGCTCACTGCAACCTCTGCCTGCCAGGTTCAAGCAATTCTCTTGCTTCAGCCTCCCAATTAGCTGGGATCACAGGTGTGTGCCACCATACTCAGCTAATTTTGTATTTTTAGTAGAGACAAGGTTTCTCCGTGTTGGTCAGGCTGCTCTTGAACTCCCGATCCTAAGTGATCCACCCACCTCGGCCTCCCAAAGTGCTGGGATTACAGGCGTGAGCCACCGTGCCCAGCCCAAACCCCAAACTTCATGAGATAAACTGTCCTATGATGACCAACTAGAAATATGTGGGTAGTGGAGGAGAAACAGGGTTTGAAACATATGGAGCCAGAAACTTATCTGTGGGAAATTCTTCAGATCATTAAATGCATAAAATTTTAAGTAGAGAATTCTATTGTCATCAGTGCCTAAATGGGAATTGTGTTTTATCAGGAAAATACTCAAAAATATAATGTATGCAACTGTAAGTGCACTACACATTTTCTCCTTTTTGATGGAAACCACATGAAATAGAATTTATCAGAATTCCAGGGTGTGTAGGGCACAAACCTGTGGCAGCACTATAAATAGCAAGTACTTATTATTATTATTATTATTATTTTTTTTTTTTGGAGACGGAGTTTCGCTCTTGTTACCCAGGCTGGAATGCAATGGCGCGATCTCAGCTCACCGCAACCTCCGCCTCCTGGGTTCAAGCAATTCTCCTGCCTCAGCCTCCTGAGTAGCTGGGACTACAGGCACGTGCCACTGTGCCCATCTAATTTTTGTAGTTGTTTTAGTAGAGATGGGGTTTCACCATGTTGACCAGGATGGTCTCGATCTCTTGACCTCGTGATCCACCCGCCTCGGCCTCCCAAAGTGCTGGGATTACAGGCGTGAGCCACCGCGCCCGGCCTATTATTATTATTTTGAGATGGAGTTTCGCTCTTGTCACCCAAGCTGGAGTGCAATGGCACGATCTCAGCTCTCTGCAACCTATGCCTTCTGGGTTCAAGTGATCCTCCTGTCTCAGCCTCCCAAGTAGCTCGGATTACAGGCGCCCGCCACCACGCCTGGCTAGTTTTTGTATTTTTAGTAGCGATAAGGCTTCACCATGTTGTGCAGTCTGGTCTTGAACTCCTGACTCCAGGTGGTCTGCCTGTCTTGGCCTCCCAAAGTGCTGGGATTACAGGCATAAGCCACCATGCCTGGCCAACAGCAAGTACTTCTGTGTGGGAGTTTAGAGTTTTATGTATCTCAATGTACCACATCGCATCTTGATACAGCTGACAAATTTTAAATTGACAAAGTCTGACAATCCCAAATAACACGGCACACAAAATTGCTTCCAATTCACTGAAACAGCATGAAAAAACAAGTGTTCAGCGACAAACTCCTACACATGTTCATCAATAAATCAGTGAAAGGAGCCTCAGAACATACTGGTTGTATAATGATGTGATGTTGCTCAAAACAGTGTAGTGGCAAACTAAAATCTGAACTGTTCTCATGTACCACAAAATGTCAGGTTGACTTTGTATACTTTTTCAGAATTACTGGTCAAACTGAAGTTCAAATCTACAAAGGATCTATTGGAGTGGAGGCCAAAACAAAAACAGAAAGAAAACGCTTTTTAAATTTGTAATTTATTGTTTCCTGTTGGGGGTCAAAAGAAGCCCGCCACCAAAAAAATAGTGTATTTCTTATTCTAAATACACATTTAGTGTATTTCTTATTTTAAAACAATATTCACTATTGTACCTGTTTTGTGCTTTTAATTGTCTTTCTTTTTCCAAAATCATGAGTCTTAAGCTCCTCAAAACCTGGACCTACTGCTAGATTTGGGCAATGAAGTGTGAGTTGGGGAGATACCTGTGACCTTTGGCAGCAGCCTTTTAGAACTCAGACAGTTCCACCACGCTCCTTCCCTGCCACAGCAGCCTGCAATGTTCCAGACCCAGGGCAGGTAAAGGGAGTGACAAACACAAACAGATGCTCAACTTCACTTCCAACAAAAGAAATGCAAATTGAGATATCCTTTTCATCTACCCAATTCATAAAAGTTATACAGTGATATCCCATACTGGTGAGAAAATTCAAAATCAGGCCATTTTCCACACTGATGGTGAAGGTACAGATCAGCATGGCATGCAGAGAGTGATCTCCCAATCCTCGTCAAAACTGGCTGGATGCAGTGGCTCATGCCTGTAATCCCAGCACTTTGGGAGGCCAAGGTGGGTGGATCACCTGAGGTGAGGAGTTTGAGACCAGCCTGGCCAACATGGTAAAACGCCATCTCTACTACAAATACAAAAATTAGCCGGGTGTGGTGGCGGGCGCCTGTAATCCCAGCTGCTTGGGAGGCTGAGACAGAAGAATCACTTGAATCCAGGAGGCGGACGTTGCAGTCAGCTGAGATGGCGTCACTGAACTCCAGCCTGGGCAACAGGAGCAAAACTCCATCTCAAAAAAAAAAAAAAAGTAACTGTGCACACCCTTAGATCCAGAAATTCTATGACTATGTCCCCCATGAATAACTGTACCAAACATGCACACTGCTGTACTGTGTGTCATATTAAAAAGCATCTAGGCCAGGCATGATGGCTCACACCTGGAATCCCAGCACTTTAGGAAGGCCGAAGTGGGTGGATCACCTGAGGTCAGGGGTTCAAGACCAGCCTGACCAACATAGTGAAACACCCTCTCTAGAATTCATTTCCGAACTCTCTTGATAGCATACAAACCTATTTCCTGGAAACCACTGTGCCAGGAGCTGAGGGAGTGGGGGCAGAGTAAGAGGGCCAGCCTTACTCTCACTAAGACAATGGCAAGGATCCCCAGGAAGGAAGTGTCACCATTACCTTCAAAGACATCTTCAAAGGGGGGGTTAGACAAAATTCTAATTTTCTTTGACTACCAGTTTACCAAAAGATCTAATGAAACACAATTTAAAATATACATATGTGTAAAAATCACAGTATTAAAAATTTTTTTAATCCCTAACTACATGAGAAGCCTTAAAAACCACCAGATGTGCCAAGCACTGTGTCACACACCTGTAGTCCCAGCTACAGGGAATGGCTTGAGCCCAAGAGTTCAAGGCTAGCCTGGGCAACACAAGACCTCATCTCTTAATTAATTAATTAATTAAAAAGGCTGGGCACAGTGGCTCACGCCTGGATCACTTATAAGTGGCTTTGGCTCTTGTGCAACACTGAAGGCCTATGGGCTGATGTTACACAGGACCCTCCAAATTAGATACCTTCAAATGGATAGTCATTTTAGTATCCTGTTTTTTTTGTTTGGTTGGTTGGTTGGTTTTGTTTTTTTCTTTTGGCGACAGGGTCTTACTCTGTCACCCAGGCTGGAGTGCATTGCTGTGACCACAACTCATTGTAGCCTCTATCTTCTGAGCACAAGTTATCCTCCTACCTCAGCCTCCTAAGTAGCTGGGACTACAGATACGTGCCACTATGTGGAGCTAATTTATTTTTTCTACTTTTTGTAAAGATGGATGGGGTCTCGTTTTGTTGCCCAGGCTCATCTCAAACTCCTGGGCTCCAGTTGATCTTCCTGCCTCAGCCTCCAGAGTAGCTGGGATTACAGGTGTTCACCACCATGCCTGGCTAATTTTTTGTATTTTTAGTAGAGACGGGGTTTCACCATGTTGGCCAGGCTGGTCTCAAACTCCTGACCTTAGGTCATCCACCCACTTTGGCCTCCCAAAGGGCTGGAATGAGCCACCACCACTCCCAGCCTGACCAGGATTTTTTTTTAAAGTCCTTTTAAAAAGTTCACAGGCACCACAGTTATAGCCTGTTTTCACAAAATAAAAGTTCTCTTTTTAGTCCAGATTTAATCTGGTCAGTAGTCTAAGAAGTCAAAAACTTATCCTCACTGTTTTTCCATCTAAAATGCAATCTATGACGTCACCTAGAAATACGTGAGTATCGCTTCTGAGATACTGTGGGGGTAAAGAAGGTGCATGCAGGGCCAACTGTAAGGAGACTGAAGATGAAGTTGGACCAAAGGGCAAGTCAGGAATGTGACCATCTGCCTCTCTGAGTGCTACTCAGGGAAGTTTGGGATCCAATCTTAATCACCCACACAAAATACCGGAGAACCTAACTTCAAATTATTGTTCTTTCTTTTTTTTTTTTTTTTTTTGAGACAGAGTCTTGCTCTGCATCCCAGGCTGGAGTGCAGTGGCACAATCTCGGCTCATTGCAACCTCCGCCTCCCGGGTCCCAGTTCAAGCAATTCTCCAGCCTCCCAAGTAGCTGGGATTATGGGCACGAGCCACCATGCCCAGCTAATTTTTATATTTTTTTAGTAGAGACAGGGTTTCACCATGTCGGCCAGTCTGGTCTTGAACTCCTGACCTTGTGATCTGCCTGCCCTGGCCTCCCAAAGTACTGGGATTACAGGCATGAGCCACCGCGCCTGGCCAATTCTTTTAAGAGATGGGTCTCACTATGTTGCCCAGGCTGGGCTCAAACTCCTGGCTCAAGAGATCCTCCCACCTCAGCCTCCTGAGTAGCTGGGATTACAGGTGCACACCACCACACCCAGCTTTGCTGCTCTTTGATTCCTCATTAGACATCTGTGTGAGAGAAGTTGTGAAATCATTTGATAAAAGTGGTATTTTTATTTACAGTGATGGTGACCCATTGCTTTAAATACACTTTGTCTGTATTCACTTGAATCCAAAAGCAACTCTCATCCTAGAAAAGACAGTCTGTCGTTAGGGTTGTAGGAGTCATTAACGCTGGCTGCCAAATATTTGTGGTTCTCCACCTTACAGCACCTTCCCTGCATGCTTTGAATTTGTGTCGGGCCACAAGACTACTTCTGGCTAATAAGCTGCCAAGTGTATCATTTTCAGGTGAAAGACTCTGTTGCCAGTGTGAGATGTTCCAGAGATCTCCCTCAACCATGGTGTGCAGCAAGCTCTGAGATGTAGCTGCTCCACCAACAATGAGGACACATGGGCTAGACAGAGTAAGTGCAAAAGTGAACCTTAGTTGTTACTGCCCAGTATTCTTGCTTATCCCAACTGATACAAGGATGGTGCCTTCATCTGTTTGGGAATGAAACTATTTCTCCTGGATCTGGGTTTTTCCTCACCATTAATATCTTAAGAAATCTTAGCACTTTGTGAGGCCAAGGCTGGTGGATCACCTGACCAACATGGTGAAACCCTGTCTTTACTAAAAATACAAAAAATTAGTCAGGTATGGTGGTGCATGCCTGTAATCCCAGCTACTCTGGAGGCTGAGGCAGGAGGATCACTTGAGCCCAGGAGTTTGAGATTGAGCCTGCACAAGGCAGGAAGGCAGGCAGGAAGGCAAGAAGGCAGGAGGGCAGGCAGGAAGGAGGGAAGGAAGAAAGAAAGAAAGGAAAGCAGGCAGGCAGAAAGGCAGGAAAGAAAGCAGGAAGGCAGGAAGGCAGGCATTAAGCAGGAAGGCAGGAATCAGGAAGGCAGGCAGGAAGGCAGGCAGGCAGGAAGGAATCTTAGCCCCCAGGCCAAGTGCAATGGTCACGCCTGTAATCCCAGCACTTTGGAACACCAAGGCAGGCGACCACATGAGGTCAGGAGTTTAAGACCAGCCTGGACAACAGGGTGAAACCCAGTCTTTACTAAAAACACAAAAGCTAGCCAGATGTGGTAGTGTATGCCTGTAATCCCTGCTACTCAGGCGGCTGAGGCAGAAGAATCACTTGAACCCAAAAGGCAGAGGTTGCAGTGAGCCAAGATCATGCCACTGCACTCCAGCCTAGGTGACAAAGTGAGACTCTTGTCTAAAGAAGGAAGGAAGGAAGGAAGGAAGGAAGGGAGGGAGGGAGGGAGGGAGGGAGGGAGGGAAGGGAAGGACTGAAGGGAAGGAAGGGAAGGAAGATAGGTAGGGAGAGAGAGAGGAAAGGGAGGAAGATAGGGAGGGAGAGAGGGATGGAAAGAAGGAAGGAAGGAAGACAGGGAGGGAGGGAGGGAAGGAGGGAGGCAAGGAAGGAAGGAAGGAAAAATCTTAGCCCCCAGACACTATGTCCTAAAGAGTTACTGAGGTTGCTGGGCACAGTGGTACACACCTATAGTCCTAGCAACCCGAGAGGCCTAGGTGGGAGGATCAGCTGTGCCAAGGAGTTTGAGGCTGCCTGCCGTGAACTATGATCATGGTTGTGAAATAGCCACTGCACTCCAGCCTGGGCAATAGTGCGAGACCCTGTCTCTTAAAAAAGTTACTGAGATGGGTGTGGACATTTGCCTTTACGATTTAAAAGTCCGTTTTTGTTGTTTTTTTTTTTTTTTTGAGATGGAGTCTCACTCTGTTGCCCATGCTGGAGTGCAGTGGCACAATCTCGGCTCACCACAACCTCCATCTCCTAGGTTGAAGCAATTTTCCTGCCTCAGCCTTCCGAGTGGCTGGGGCTACAGGCGTGTGCCACCATGCCCAGCTAATTTATGTATTTTTAGTACAGATGGGGTTTCTCTATGTTGGCCAGGCTAGTCTCGAACTCCTGACCTCGTGATCTGTCCATCTTGGCCTCCCAAAGTGCTGGGATTACAGGTGTGGGCCACCGCGCATGGCTGAAAAGTCCATTTTTAAAAAAGTAATATTTAGGGAAGTATCATCCCGTCATTTAGCTAAAATTAACAGGCTCTACCACGTGCCAGGCATGATTCTAACTCGGGATGCAGTGGTGAACAAGCTCCTTATCCCTAAGGAGCAAATGTGCTCCTTTTTTCTCTTGGTTTTGATTCCTTATCTCTATATATTTCTGATTTTTTTTCTTCCTATGTATTATTTCCATGACAAGTCATTTCAATTCTATTGAAGAGTATACCCCAATGTAATCATGACTTGTATCACCTGATGTCCTGCAGACTCCACAGTGGGAGGGGGTACGGTCTGTCCTCAGCAGCCTTCCCACTCCTCAAGCCTGGGCTCAACCACAACCCCACACTGGGCTCACACCCTCCTTATGAACACGAGTGAGGTCTAGAGCCTGACTCCATCCTCATGGGGAGCAGAGGCAGGGCTCTCACTGGCACTCATCTACTGCCCTCCTCTCCTAAATATGACTTCTTTCAGAGCCCCTAATCCCTGCACAGGTCGGATTGCAGACATCTACGAGAAGGGCCATGTCTCAGGCAAACAGGGTGTGGCCAGACAACTTCTCCCTCAACCCTGATTGTTCTGTGGCACTTGGAGACTCCTTGTGCTTAAGGTCTCAGTTCCAGCCCAGTCAACATGCCCAATTATACACAAAAAGAACTAACTGTGTGTGTGACTCAGTACCCAGGGAGGTATCGAGGCAAAAAGCGCTGCTGGGTTTGGAGGAAAGTGAGTCACTGAGGGCTTGGGCAGCAGCTGAGGCTTTAGGAGGCTTCCCAGTCAACACGGAACTGAGGTGGTCTTAGAAGAAAAGTGGGAGAGAACGTTTGTGTGAGATAGTTAGGGCCTAGCTTTCAAGATGTGTTCCCTGGTTGGTTAGAGGTGGGTGGAACATTGGGACAGAACCTAGTTCCTCACCAAAGTGCCTCTGTTTTTATGTTTACACGCCCATTAGCAGTGGTTCCTAAAGTTTTCTGACCAAAGAACAGAATACCTGTTAATTGCCTTCTCCTAAACTAGTGTTCTAGGAAAAGTAGTTTGCAAACCATCATTCAGGTTTATACATTGGGAAAATATTTCTGTTGTGCTTTAAAAAAATGTTTTTATATCTGAAACGACAGATGCAGTCTGGCCCTTTCCCTTACCAGGAGCAGCCCCAAATTCACTCAAGTGTGCACAGTGGTAGGCCCCACAGACATACAGCTTTGGGTCTCCTCATGCTAAGCCCCATGCTGTTCCCACCTTAACTATATCCCTGGTCTTAGGGTGTCAGGCACACCAGCATCTTAACAGTTCTGAAGAGCCTCACGGTAAAATTTATTTACCTTTACTTGATATATGGATGTTACATGAGCACAGATTTCTTCCCCCAGCACATCTCTTAACACTTTGCACAGCCATGTCTGGAGGGAAACCAGTTTGGGAAATACAAAAGGCATGTGCTGGTCAATACTCAGCTTTGTCATGTCATGCACAATTTACAGAGTAAAAACATGGAAGCTCATTTACCCAGCAGGAGAGCAACTATTAAGGACCCTGTTAACCCAGTGAAGACCTACGAAGCTGAGTGGTGACCACACGCACACACAGCACGGTCCAAAGTGCCTTCAGAATCAGATGGAACTCTAATCAACTCCAGCACGTTCAAAATTAAAATGTCTCTATTCCTGCCAATACTGAAAAACTATCTGAAAGACAAGACAGGGCTTGTATTTAGCCACAGATGCAAAGGATTAGTTGTTAAAACACAGCTGCTGGAAGACCTCAGGATGTGCGCAACAGAGAATCCAGAGGGGGCAGTAGAGGACAAGGCAGGGACTCCACTTCCAAAGCCAGCTCAACTCTTAGCAACCAACAGGGGATGTTAAGATGGGCTCCTGGAGCCAGAACTACAGAAGAGGCGCGTGGCCTCTCCCCACCATTTTTCACAGCGTTGATCAGGAGTTTTAAGCACTCTTTATACACACGATCAACAACAGATCACTTTAAAACCATTTATATGGTCTGCAAAGGGGCACAAATAGTTATGCAATGCCAGGTACCTCAGAATAACAACGGCTTACACTTATGGAGCATCAATAATGTAAGGAAACTACAGGGCTCTGCACCAGGCACAGTCCAGACATCTCTGATCCTCACACACTGACTCAGGAAGCAGGCAGCACCTCCATCATGTGGCCAGGTTTGCTCAAGGTCCCAAAGCCAGCTCCTCCCCTACCTCATGCCTAACATATGACTTATCCAGAGTCTTCCCACTTCTTTCACCATGGGAGAAATCACCATGTATGATTTCTCTTCAAGGAAAGCAGTACAAGACCTGGGGTAGCCAGTGCTGAGAGTCTGACAAAGCCCACAGCGTGACTGCTCATTCTCAAAGCGATCTAGCTGTAGTAACATCTTAATTTTTCTAAGAAAAATAATCCATGAATTTTTCCCCTCCCAAGGGAGGCCATCCCATGAGGAAGACAAATTTAAAATATCACCCTCCTCTCCCTTGAGACAATCAAGCAATGAGCAAATAATTTTGGGTTCAGAAACAAAAGAGCTAATCGCAAGTGTAAATTATTTAACCTGCAACCAAGGCCTATGCCTGGGATCTTTGGTTTAGTTGTTTTTCTCCAGCTAAATAAACAATGCCCAAGCTAGGACCTGAGGGTGGCAAAGAAGTAATAGAAAACTACCTGCTCTGGAAGGGCAGAGACGGCCCTCAGGAATTAAAGCTGCCTATGCTGGCCAGGAGGACGAATTAGCAGCAATTAGTTGAGCAAAGCAGCCAAGGGGTGGGGGCAAGTAAATTCCTCATTGTTGACAAGAAATGGAGAGGCTTTCAGGGAGAGGATTCCAAGGGCTCAGGATGGTCAAAAGGAAACAGAGTGCAGGCAAGGCCAGGGGGCATCAGAGGGCAGCAAGGTGTACACCCCCAAAGGAAGTCCACCGCCCTCGGCAGCCATACTCTGTGGGTAACCCCCTATATAGGCACCGAGGAATAAAAGCTAAGCAGAACCCTGGCACAGTTAGGGCCTGAGGAATATCTCAATTTATAGTGTTACTACTCGGCTATTTCCTTTTATATAATCCTTTACACAGTCATATATTAATTTATAGAAATAGGGCTTGACGAATCCCTTTATATAATGCTCCATATATAATTATATAATAGTTGATAGTATGAGTGCCTAAAGAATATTTTCCTACATATATACCTATAATTATATCTTAGTTTATAATCGGAAGAATGCCTAGAGTGGACATAGTACAGAGCATAAATTAAGGAATAAGCAGCTTATAATCAGAGGAATACCTAAAGCAGACACTGCAGAGCATGATTTAAGGGAAAAACAGTTATACGGGGACAAGAATCCATAGCCCAGGCAGCAGAGTTTAGTACTGTAAAGATACCCGCTGTATGGCAGGCTTGGGGCAAAAGCCACTCTTCCTAATAAAGGAGTTGTAGGACCTGGCTCCAGCTCTTGTGGAAGGCTACCCTCAGACCGGCAATCCACCTTGGTGACTGTGAACTTTATCAGCTCTTGCTACTGTGCTGCTTAAAAAGCATCTTCCCATAAAACCCATTGGAAGCTGCCAGAAGGTGGCGGTAACCTTGACAGTTCTGTCACTGCTATGTGACTTAAAGCATCCTCCTATAAATCTTCTTAGAAGTAGTTTGCCCATAGATAGAAGTATTGCACACTGCATCCTCTTCACTACGCACAGCCCACCTTCAAGCCTCAGTGACCTAATGGGAGTGGACCCCGTTACTGCACACGGCCCTTGCCTTCATGGGAATGGGCCCCTTGCTGCGCACTGTCCACCTCCTGGCCTAGATGACCTAATGGGGGTGGACCCCATGTTTTATTGCTCACAACCCTATCACTATCCTTAAAGATAATTTCACTCACTGCCCTGCCCCCTCACCTATACACAATAAATACTCATGCTTCTGGACATTCGGGGCCTCACCTGAATCCACTCATAGGTGGCGTGGCCCCCTGAACCCAGCTGCATTTTCTTTGTACTTCTGTGTCCTGTCTCTTTATTTAATCCTGCACCTCAGCACAGCATAAAGCTCACAGCCCTGTGGGGCCATCAGCCCTACAATACTCCACTCTAAGTCGTGCTTGCCAAACTTCGCACTGTTTTCCACTAAGGACAGAAGCATTCGGGTTGTTGATGCCCCAGGAAGCTTTGTTTGGTCTGAGTGTAACCTGTGTCACAAAGGCCGATTCAATCAGTGTCCCTGACACATGTTTCAAGCCAGGTTCTCTGTTTGAACAATTTTGCTACTTTGGAATTCTAAAGCCACAGATAAGAGCTGAACTTTGGACATTGCATTCAATTTCCATTTTTTGGCAAGATTCTCACCTTCAACATACACTTTCATACAAGCCTGCTCTAACACATACATTAAACCCAGAGGCTACCCAAGCGGCACAATCTTGGCTCACTGCAACTTCTGCCTCCCAGGTTCAAACAACAGCCGGCCACAGTTTATCACAGGCTCCAGCTAAAACAGGTTTTTTGGTTTTTTCTTTAATCTAACTACTTAGAGCACAAACAGGGTTATCCAATAAAGTGCCAAACATTTTCTTATTTTTAAAAGAAAATCCAGGCTGGGCACAGTGGCTCACACCTGTAATCCCAACACTTTGGGAGGCCAAGGCAGGTGGATCACCTGAGGTCAGGAGTTTGAGACCAGCCTGAACAACATGGTAAAACCCTGTCTCTACTAAAAACACAAAAAATTAGCCGGGCGCAGTGGTGGGCGCCTGTAATCTCAGCTACTCAGAAGGCTGAGGCAGAATTGCTCGAACCCGAGAGCTGGAGGTTGCAGTGAGCCAAGATTGTGCCATTACACTCCAGCCTGGGTGACACAGTGAGACTCTGTCTAAAAAAAAAGAAGAAAAGAAAACAGAAAATCCAGAAAACCTTATTACGTGGTTTGATGATATAACTGCACATGATTTCAGAAAACCACAGGATGGTCAGCATCTTTCTTGCCATCAATTGCCCACAGAATTTTACTGCAAATGCTACCCTGCTCAAAAAGCCAAATTTTCAGACCATTTAAATTAGTAATGGAGCAAAAACAAAGCACATATAGAGGACACAGGAAACAAATTGCCCTTAAATCATAAACATCTGAAGCTGTTTAACTACACTGCTGGCATTCGGATTTTCTTTTTCCCCTTCCTTTCTCATGGTCCTAGCTTGATAGATGAAGTCGAAATCCCAGAAAGTGGTGTCGTATCCCCACATGATTCAAAGGCAAAACCTCCCCCCTTTCCTTCCTCTTCCTGCTTTACGTCCTGTATTTCCCCAACCCAACAACTCTGGCAAACCACTTTAACTGACTGAGAGCAAGGGCACAGCATTTCTCATTCACTGAATGAGAAACTAGCAGGCTGGAGAAGCTTTTTGTTAAAGATTGATTTCAGCCAAACTAGCGAGCTGTGTATTTTAAGAGGCCAGGCAGAAGTCCAGTGGGAAAACCCATCTCAGTTGTGAGATCCACTACCCTGGCAACCCCTGGACCTCTGCACCATCC